TTTCTGCTTCCTCTCAGTCAGAGGCATTCCCAGTATCTGAAATGGGTATAGTTCCTTCAGGGATTCATAAATTGTATCATATCAAAGACAGGTTTTTACTAGCCACATTTTAAAGAGCCCAAAGGACAGTCATCTGGAAGAAAATAAAGTTGAATCTATATCATATTCCACGACCACTGATAAACTCAAAAAGAATCAAAGATTTAAATATATAAAGGAAAAACAATGCAACCACAAAAGTACTAAAGCAGACAAATTCCTTTATAAACTTGGAGAAATACATTTCTAAATGTGACTCAAAACCCATAAAAGAAAATGTTGATATATTTTACTATATTAAAAAAATAAGCAGGGTCAAAAGACAAATGACTGACATGGGAAGAAACATTTGAAACTCACATCAGAGGCAAAAGGTCCATCTCTCTCATATAAAAAGAACAGCTAGATTTCAAACAGAAATAAAACACTAAAACTTCCCTAGAAAAAGGGCAAACGACAGCCAGTTCACAGAAAAAGAAATTCAAGTGACTCTTAAACAAATGGAAAGATATTTAACTCATTCGTATCTTATTATTAAATAATAAATACAAATTAAAACAACATTAAAGTAACACATTTCACCTATCAGATTGGCAAAAATCTCAACATTTCATAATACTCTGTTAATGAGGCTATGATGAAGCATATTGTAAGCAGAATGCAAAATGGTAAAAGACTTATGGAATTTGGTAATATATAAACAATGCTACATATGCATTTGTCTTTTTTTTTTTTTTTTTTTTGTGGTATGTGGGCCTCTCACTGTGGTGGCCTCTCCCGTTGCGGAGCACAGGCTCCGGACGCGCAGGCTCAGCGGCCATGGCTCACAGGCCCAGCCGCTCAGCAGCATGTGGGATCTTCCCGGACCAGGGCACAAACCCGTGTCCCCTGCATCGGCAGGCGGACTCTCAACCACTGCGCCACCAGGGAAGCCCCACACTACTATTTTTAATTGTAAAAGAGTGGAAATCACCCAAGTGTCCATCCACAGGGGAATATTTAAATAAACTATGATACATTCACATAACAAAATATTAATACTACAGCTATATTAATATTTTATACAATGAAAAAGAATGAGAAGCTCTGTACATATCGATATGGAAATATTTTCAGAATTCGCAATTAAGAGAAAAAAACAAGGTACAGAACAGTGTATAAAATTTGATTTCCTTTGTAGAGAAAAGTAAAAATTAAGAATATATATTCATATTTGCATGCATTTGCATTTAAAAAATGACACAGGAGACATATATAATATAGGACCTACTAAAGAGTTTACCTAACTAGTCTGACTCAAACCAGACAGACTGGGTCTGTCCCCCTTACAAAGTAATTAAACTCTTTGAACCTATCTATAAAATAGGAATTATAGGAATTCTTACTGCACAGGATTGATAAATAAAATAAATACATAAAATAAATAAATACATAAAATAAATGAGTCAACATTTGCAAAGGACATAGGACAGTATTGGGCATTTACTAAGTATTATAGAATTGTTTAAATAAGTAAAACTTACAGAGGATAGAACAGAAGTAAGAGCAAAAACGGAGAAGTGGAAGCAAAATGCACTTAGCATACCATTGCCTCTCTGAAAGAATGACATTTGAAACATTCCTGCCTTCCAGAAAAGTTTTAAAATTTGCACTCAAGATCACCAGATTTTATTTGAAGTACAATTTTTCCCTCTGCGACATATTTTAAAAACCTCTTCATTTCTGTTCCCTCCTTTAACTCCCAGTTTCTGGCTCTCTGGTACTGCTGGAAGTGGAGATTCTAAACAAGCCCTACTATCTCCAGGAAGCAGATACTTTCAATCCTATACCACAGTGACTCTTTCCACTGCCTCTTGTTATAGAATTGCTAAGCTGGTGAAACCTGCCTCTCAGGGATGGCTTCTTTCTTATCCCATTTGTTTTGGCTGGAAAATCACTCTCAACAGATTCTTGAACTGAAACTGCAATTGATGCTTCTGAAGCCGAGACCCTACGGGCCCAGGGAGAACTAATACCCCTTCCATATGCTCCTGTAGGCAGTGTCTTTCACCACTGAATTGTTCAGACCTTGAATAGCATTTTTTTCTGCTACATATTTTTCTGCAGCAATGAAATACGCCTCTAGTTTTTATTTTCTTCTCTCCTTCTCCTATACCTTTCATAAAGTTTTAGTTAATTTTTTAACCATTTAATCTGTTTAGGAAGTTGAGTTTCTAATAAGCTTACCCTGCTTATTAATTTGTTCTCCTCTCCAAAATATAAAGGATTATTGCTGTTCGCTGGAAATGAATACTTGCCTTCCTTTTTATCTTTTCTAGACATCAGTTTTTTCCTCATTTTTTCCTCTGTTTCTTAAATTCCAAAATCATTTCTACCATCAATGAGGAAATCACTAAATTCTGAGTTTACTTAAAGTATCCACTGTTTAAACAAATCTCTTTTCCTCCACTTCCCTGAGATGGATAATTCCACAAAAAAAACTTTTCTCCCAACAGACTGATATCAAACCCATTCAAGCTTAACCTTAACTCATGTTTTTGCCTTGCCCCTTTCAGTATGCCTTATCTTGCTGAGCCTTGTCTTGAGTCCTAATTCTTGGGCATGTTCCTTTGAGGCACAAACTATACCTCCCTGCAAACCTACAAAAACTGTATTACCTGAAAATCACATAATCATACTTGGTGTATTCTACATATCCTCCTAGTTTTCTCACTGTTTACGATTCTGTTCTAATGCATTTTACATCATTTCTTATCTGTGACCTCTCAATGGTTTCCTGTTCCTTGACTCTCTTTGAAGGAGTCATACCATTTGAGATCTTGCCTCTTTCTCTTTTTGATTAATTTGGGACCTGGGGACCCTATTTCAATCTAGTAACAACTAAACACCTCTCCCTTTTCCAATACTCTGTTGTACAGCATTTAGATCCTCTTGAATCTCCACTTCTCTCTTATAGATGTCTACTGGAACTTCAAAGTGTCATTTCCTATGTCACCTTTGTCAATTCACTCCCTAATTTCTCAGGTTTTCTTCTAAAAAAAGTTTTACTTTCCTCCATCCTATTTTCCTTTTTGTTTCCACTCTTCCATTGTTCTATATTAACTTGAAGCACAAATTTTAAATTACTCTAACATTGCAAACTCCTAAGCAAAATCCATTATTAGAACTAGAGCACCCCAAGAGCAAGCCTTTATGACTTGCTTTCTTAGCCACTGTTTTTGCAATAATTTTATTTAGTTGTTTCTCATTCTGAATTTAAGAAGAAATTATATGCTCTGTAGAGTAAGGGTCCCCATTTTTTTTAAATTTTGATGTCCATCAACCTCCTATGGGTAGAGTCACAGTTTGAATCTCAGCAGTGAAAAGTCATGGTCAGATTGTATAAAATTACCAAATTTAGAGCCACCTGTGATCAAGAGGTAGGAGCAACTTTAAAACTTACCAACAAGTCACAGGATTCCTCCAACGTTCCCTCTCTTGACTCTGAAGGAGACTCAAAATAATATAAAACGGGGGGCCTCCCTGGTGGCGCAGTGGTTAAGAATCCACCTGCCAATGCAGGGGACATGGGTTCGAGCCCTGGTCCAGGAAGATCCCACATGCCACGGAGCAACTAAGCCCGTGCGCCACAACTACTGAGCCTGCGCTCTAGAGCCTGTGGGCCACGACAACTGAGCCCGCGTGCCACAACTACTGAAGCCCGCACGCCTACAGCCCAAGCTCTGCAACAAGAGAAGTCACTGCAATGAGAAGTCTGTGCACCGCAATGAAGAGTAGCCCCCGCTCACCGCAACTACAGAAAGCTGCACGCAGCAACAAAGACCCAATGCAGCCAAAAATAAATAAATAAATTTATTTAAAATATATATATATATATGGGACTTCCCTGGTGGTCCAGTGGTAAAGAATCCACCTTCCAATGCAGGGGACTTGGGTTTGATCCCTGGTCAGGGAATTAAGATTCCACATGCCACAGGGCAGCTAAGCCCCCGAGCCACAACTACAGAGTCTACGCACCCTGGAGCCAGCACGCCATGACTAGAGAAAGAGAAAATCCACACTCCACAACCAGAGCGAAGCCCATGCACAAAGAGGCCGCGCACCACAGCGAAAGATCCCACATGCCTCAACTAAGACCCGACGAAGCCTAAATAAATAAATAATTAATAAATCTTTAAATATATATATATATATATATAAAGATAATCAGAATTTCAGCAGACTTTCTCTGTCACCAACCTAAGCCTGGCACTAACCACGTCCTGCAGATACCGCTGGATATAGCAGAAACACTTTGAGACCTAAAAACGGCCACTACATGAAAAGACTCTCTATAATTAAACCCTTGTCTCAGAGAAGGCTTCTTAGAAAAACTCAGGTATGCAGAATGTATGGTCAAGCAGCAGCAACTATTTGGCTAGGCTGCATTTAATAAGGACATCTCAGCGGTACTGGTCAGATTTTGCTTGCTGAGCCTATCAAAGTTTTCCTGCCTTTGCTTACAGCCCAGAGCCTGCAGACTTGCCTCTACAGAAATCAGTGTTTTCTTATATAAAACCCGTCACTCTCTTGTAAACAAAATCGTCACAAACTGCAACAACCCACTACAGCTGAAAATATGTGGTCAGCGCCTAGTCCAAAACTATCCAAGTTTAACACCTCCCACTCCAGCCATGCCATAAGCATGCCCAAAGTTTTACTCCATAAGCACTCTACAGCACAGAATTCCTCTTTTTTTGTTTTCTCTCTATGCCCACTTTACATTCTAGATGTTGTGGTGTGAGGAGGGTCGTGCGAGTAACGTCTCTCTTTTACCCAGGGAGAAATGAAAAACAAAAGAAAAGAAATAACGTAGCAGGAAAAGCAAACTATTTCCTTATAAATGCTAGCGAAGATGTTTAAGACTCTGGCTCATAACGGCAGGTTTGCTCATACTAAACTCCAGAATTAGACAGACTTACCAACTACGGCACAGACAGCAGCCAACGGCAAGATGGCGCACAGGCAAATTCCGCACTTGTCAACTTCACTGCCGGCCGGGGGGCGGAGTAAAGTGGGCACTTTCTAGAGACCGCTCCTCCCTAAGACGAAAGGAAGGGGCGGGTCATACACGCAGACTTTCTCTTTCAAAACTGACCAATCAAATAGCTGACTGCCGGCTCCACGGGAAGAAGTAAAAAGACGGAGAAGCTTTAGGCGTGTTGTTTTCATATATGTCCCTCCATAGTGAAGGAAACAGCATTGGCAGAGGTGTTCCCGTTCCTCTACATAATGTATAGTCTCGCTGGTGGGAATCTTTTCCCTCCATATCACAGCAATCTTTTGGCAAACTCACTATTTCTTTCTTTCTGTTACATCTTAATCCCCCTGGGCCGCAAGGGAACTTTTCCTGTAACCAGAGCGTGAGCTACAAGTCTTGTAGTGTATCTGACCTCTCCTAAACATGCCAGGTTGTTAATTATGGTAACCATATAATGTTTTCCAACCGATGCCCCTTGAAAGTGAAAGGGGGCAATAAAATTAAAATTATAAATTTTGGAGATTTTATATTGATGGATTTATACAGAGGGCAATTCAAAATTCATTTTGTAAAATAAAATTATTTCTAAAAATTAAAGCAGCTATATTTAAGCAAAACTTTTTTTTTTTTTTCCCGGTACGCGAGGCTCTCACTGCTGTGGCCTCTCCCGTTGCAGAGCACAGGCTCCGGACGCGCAGGCTCAGCGGCCATGGCTCATGGGCCCAGCCGCCCCGCGGCATGTGGGATCCTCCCGGGCCGGGGCACGAACCTGTGTCCCCTGCATCAGCAGGCGGACTCTCAACCACTGCGCCACCAGGGAAGCCCTTAAGCAAAACTTTAAAATGTCTTCATTATAATATGAACATTAAAAATAACAGAATTATAATTATTCGCACATATTAATGTATTTTAGTGTTTCAGCCTTTATCGCCCGTAATAGTGAGTCACTAATATTTTTCTGAAGAATACATTTTTAATACGGTGTTATTGTTTTTAAATTTTTTAAACTGCCTACAGTCTTCTCAAATATGTATTTTATGGTTGATATATAGGAAATTTTGACATCTTTCCTCTTCACTGTGGATGATAATACTTTAAATTAAGAAAAACTCAAAAATTATGCTAAACAAAATCTCATTCCTATTTTTTCTTAAAATATGTAAATTTTTCAGTCCAAATATTTTCCCAAGTGCTGTCTTTCTGCCTCTACTCAAAGTAACAATCTTCAGCAAACATTCGTAGGACATAAGCTTCATAAAATAAGTTTTCCATTATTTATGATACTTTTGAAGGTTTTGCCAAATTTAGATGCTGCAAATTGGAAATACTTTTTTTTTTTTTTTTTTTGCGGTACGCGGGCCTCTCACTGTTGTGGTCTCTCCCGTTGCGGAGCACAGGCTCCGGACGCGCAGGCCCAGCAGTCATGGCCCACGGGCCTAGCCGCTCCACGGCATGTGGGATTCCCCCCAGACCGGGGCACAAACCCGTGACCCCCACATCAGCAGGCGGACTCCCAAGCACTGCGCCACCAGCGAAGCCCCTGGAAAGCCTTTTAAAGTTCATTTTATTTCTCTAAGAACGTGAATTTATCCTGTTATAATAGGAGCTCCATCAAAAGATTCTTCACATGGGTTAAAATATCTCAAGGAACAATTAGAGAATTTCAAAATTAAATTTTATATTGTTAGGGGAAACACTGACTGAAATCGCCAAGCCCTGACCAGGCACCACAGTAATCACGGCATGAGGTCCCGGTAAGGAATGCAGAACTAACAAGCTATCACCAACCAGAAGAACTCGGGAAAGGTCAAAAGGAGAGAGGAGATGCCAGTCCGTATGTCCTACCAACCTCCCAGAATCCTCGCTGGAATCTATCTTGACGGAGCGATGCGCGTGCCACCAGGAAGTACCCTGAGTCAGAAAGATTGAAAGTCAGAGATAACCGGAAACTAATACCATCACCATATAACCTGGGACTGCAAGCCATGTGACAGAGCCGTCGTCCTCCTCCTCCTTACGGTAAGAGAAGCCGACGGTTCTCTTACCGTCCTGCTCTCCGACCGGGTGACCCTTCCCAATAAAGTCTCTTGCTTTGTCAGCATGTGTGTCTCCTCGAACAATTCATTTCTGAGTGTTAGACAAGAGCCCACTCTCAGGCCCTGGAAGGGGTTCCCCTTCCTGCAACAATATTATACAAAATTTAAAATCCACTTGAACTTATTTAGGTTATTCCTTGATTTTGTAGAGGTAAATTTAAATGTCTTTCTTGTGACACAAGGAAGTTATTTTTTTCAATAACTGCAGTCTACAAATCTTCAAAACCTGAATTTTATTAGCACAATTTTTAATTGTTTAATTAAAATTTCTAAATGATTTTAAAACAATGCAACAAAATTTTGTTTATAAAAATTGAGTAGCTCTGTAGACCACTGAAATCTATTTACAAAATGTATTTGTAAAGAATTAAATATTCATAAAATCCTATTTAGAAGCAACCAAAGAGAAAAAACATATGCTGTTATGTTTGAGTCTTTTTTTTTTCTTTTTTTTTGTACTCAATTCTGGTTTTATCACAAAGAGTTTTGTAGTTTGGTTCATCAAATTGTTATATACAGTAGTACCTTGGTATCAACGGAATTGGTTCCAAGGACCCTTCCACCCCCAAAGAATACCAAAATTCATGGATGCTCTAGTTCCTTATATAAAATGCCATCGTATATGCATATAGCCTAACCTATGCACATTCTCCCATATACTTTAAATCATCTCTAGATTACTTATGATATCTAAAACAGTGTAAATGCTATTTAAATAGTTGCCCGTGCACTGCAAATTTAAGTTTTGCTTTTTGGAACTTTCTGGAATTTTTTTTTCAAATATTTTCAGTCTGTGTTTAGTTGAATCTGTGGATGTGGAACCCGCAGATACTGACGGCCAACTATATACAGGCATACCTCGGAGATATTGTGGGTTCAGTTCCAGACCACCGCGATAAAGCAAATATCGAAATAAATCAAGTTGCACAAAATTTTTGGTTTCCCAGTGCATATAAAATTATGTTTACACTATACTGTAGTCTGTTAAAATATGATAGCATTATATTTTTAAAAAACAATGTATATACCTTAATTTTAAAATATTTTATTGCTAAAAAATGCTAACCATCATCTGAGCCTTCAGCAAGTCATAGAAGTAACATCAAAGATCACTAATTCCAGATCACCATAACAAGTAAAATAAAATGAAAACTTTGAAATATTCCAAGAATTACCAAAATGTGACACAGAGACATGAAGTGATCAGATGCTCTTGGAAAAATGGCTCCACTAGACTTGCCCCAAAGAGAGTTGCCACAAACCTCCAATTTGCCACAAACCTCTACAAAACGCAATGGCGTGAAACACAATAAAACGAGGTATGTCCGTATGCATTATAACAATATTTGTGAAGTTTGACAATTACAGTTTATAAGTCAATTGCAGTTTGGATGCATTTATGAATTATGTACACACCACAGGCGATTTTGCAAATGTAGTCATTGCATGTATTTCTCAACAAGAATTTTTTTTTACTATGACCTTATGCCCTGCCAAATTTAAATTCATATTACTGCAAGTAACTTTATTTTAAATATAATCCTTTTAACTTAATACAAAATAACATTCACAAAAATAGCAGACATTTTACTTTTGAGGAATGAATTTTCAAGTTGTAATGTGATTTCCATGAGCTGAAAGGGGAAAAAAAAAAGCATGGGAAGTTATTTAACTTATTTTCTTCTTGAAGCATCTGATAGCAACAATATAAAACTGGCCTTATTTAACAGCCAATGTCTCAAACTACATGCACTAGAAAATTGGGGATTAAAAATAAGAAAAACTAACTAGATGAATAGTCATTTACTCTAAAGGAAAATGTCTATTTCACAATGTTATATGCAGATGTACCCTCTGCAATCATGTGTGTGTTAATTTCTTATCTTACAGTACACTCTTCTTAAAATAACCACTAACCTTTGAAGTAGATGCTGATGATTCTTCTGCAAGTCTATGTCTTCCGGTTTTCATAGTGATATCACTAATGTTCTCATGGTGGATGATAAAGAGTCACATATTTTGTGTACTTATTATTATTTGTGTACTTATCAACTCACTTAAAAACAGAAATTTAGTATCTAAAATCTCATTAAACATGAACTTTCCTTTTTTTCAATCTCATTGCTCATGAAAAGGCTTATTGCCAAATTTAAGTTTTACTGAACAATAAAATACTTATGTATTTATAGTATACAGTAAATGACAGAACAACTATAAGAAAATTCAGCCTACTATGTCTGAGCTCAAGAGTAGTATAAGTTAGCCTCAGCTGTGCAGGCATGTTTTGGGTACCCTTATCTGTAGTACTAGTTTCACTGAGCCCACCTTTTGGTATCTTAGGGACGCCCCCTGCCTCTCAAAGGCCTGTGCATGAACCAGGCCACAGCTGGATGGTACCCCAACCGGACGGTAAGCAGAACGGCATCAGATAGTTTGCTCACCACGACCAAGCTTTCCTAGCTGTCCTGAGCTGCTAGTGTCCCAGACCAGATTGCTTTATTAGTGAATGTCTTCCATAATGTTCTTAAGAGAAAGATCCTGGTTATGTTGGGTCTGGAAAGATCAGAACCAGAGCCAATCTGCTGTTGGGTTGTCTGTGAGGTTTGACCATGTGTTAACATCAGAATTTTGTTTATTATACATGTTTCATACATTTCTAAATGAGATCATGGCAGAAGCCAAAAGAATAAGGTCAAGAGCTAACAAATCCACCCTGACTTATTTTAATGCAAATGTAAATACTATTTTTCATCAAAAATTAAAAATCTGGGATAAATACTATATTTGACAAGATGCCAAGAAATAGGATATACCTTCTTTGGTGTGGCATGCTTCTGTGAGCCTGACACCTTCAGAACTCTCCAGTTAAGGAGTGGAAGTGAGGCCCATTTGAGAAGATCTTCTCTAAACAAACTACATATATTTTGTTTACTTCCCTCCCTTGACAGT